TCTCTGCTGACCCCCCCCACTTCCACTGTACGACTCGGGGATGAGGCCCGGGCCCACCACAGACACCTGAGGCCTCATCGCTGTCAGTGAGGAGCTCTGAGAGGCCGAGGCTGAGGGGGCCGCCGTGGGCACCGTGGGCCTGTGAACTGGCGAGGACGAACAGGACTGAGTGGAAAAGGCCACACTTTGAACCACATTTATGGTCACAGCTGGAGAGGAAAGTCCTGCTGTTAAGAAGAGAAAAGCAGGAAATATACCAACAAGCCAAGTCAATATGAAGAGTTTGTGTGGAATGAGCCATACGTTACAATCCTGGCTGATTAAGTGTACACTGTAAAGATACACTGTCTACAGTATGCTGTATGTATGTGTAAGCTGTGAGTGTCTTACCTTGTGCAGCTAGCAGACCCTGGCGGAGAGGTTTTGGAGCAACAGCAGGAGGTTTCGGTGAGAGTGCGGGTTTGTTGGGGGCCCCTGTAGCTGGACTGCCTGGCGTCTCCAGACCAGCCTCACTGATCCTCAGACTGACATCCTCCTGGCTCTGGCACTGAGGCCTGCTGCTGTCGGACTCTGATCCAGGCACTCCCTCTCTGCTGGGGGAACTTGCTCCCTGTTCCTTGTCTTTGGGTTTGTGACGGCGCTTGACTGTGTCCGACTCCTTCAGATTAAACTCGGGCACCTCCAGATTCTTGGCTGCTGATCTCTCTGGAGGCTCCAGCACAGCCTCAGCCCTGGGAGGCCCTGGAGCTTTGGGCCTCTGTTTAATGGTCAGGTTGCCCTCCTCTGCAAAGGGGATGCACTCACTGGAGCTGTTCTGAGGGGATGAAGAACCCTCCAGTCCACGACCTTTTGATTCTTCCTCCTCAGAGTCAGACTTCACCCCTCGGTCCGGCTCGGTGCGGCTGCTGCTCTGGGTGGGGATACACTCACTCTGCACTCTCCTCCTCACTGCTGCAGTCTCTCTGGGATCCTGTCCTGCAGAAATGAGAGAAGTTGGAGGCGGCCCCCTTTTTTTTTTCCTGGGGGGATCTTCCCCACTGTGCTGCCTTCCAGAGAGGCTGTAATGCTCCTGACATTCCCTGGACTGTCAGTCACCACACTGCAAACAGAGGACATCGTGCTGCTGCTGCTCAGCTCCCCACTGGTGGTGCTGCTCACAGAGCTCAGCCTCTTTGGCGGTGGGGGAGGGGGACCTTTTTTCCGAGAGCGCACCGCAAACGACTGACTGCGTCCCACGTTGCTGCTCTTGTCTGGACTTGACTGTAGTCGAGCCAGCTGGCTGCGGCCCGGCTTGCGGGCTAAGGTGGCATAGGACGGTAGGTTTCCTGAAGGAAGTGCAGGCTCCTCGTCATCCTCCTCTGGCTCTCCATCTGACAGAGCATAGCGAGTCACGCCCTGAGTGCGCTTCCTGGTCTGCATCACAGTGTGGTTCTCAGACCCGGGAGATGAGCTCAGGTTTGTGGAGCCAGATTGACTATGCAGGTAGCTGAAACCCTTCAGTGCTGGGGAGCTGTGTGGGGATGGCCCATGAGACCCAGACAGTTTGGGCTTGACTGGAATGGCCGGGTACTTAAACACAGTGGCTGTACCCAGAGGCACCTGCTTGTGCGGCAGCTGCTGCTGCAAAGGCCTCTGGTCCCAGCCCTCTGGGAGGTTCCTCACCTTTGCAGGGCTGCTGTTCAGGTTCTCCTGCGACCAGCTGTGGGGGGTGATGGAGGCTGTGGGAGGCTCCTGGGAGCGGCCTGAGCCTCCTGACCGAGTGTCAATGCTCTCCTGGCTATGGGACATCCCCACTACTTTCTTTATGGCCAAACTGTCCTCAGGGCCTCCGTAGTGGCTACACAGGGCTGTCTGCAGCTCGGCACTCAGCTCGCTGTCCTGGAAGGTCAGCATCTTTGGCGTGTGAGGTGAAGAGCATTCACCTCCAGCATCTGGCGGCTCGATGGTGACCAGGTGGAGGGCTCCGGGGCCTTTGTGCTGCAGCGTGCCTTGACCTAATTCAGCCTGAAGGATGGCCCTCTGGATGTCACACAGCTTCTTGACCGCCAACATCAGTTTTTTCTGGTGTCCTGCAGACAAAATCAACCATCACACCAAAGTAAAACAGCACTTGTACAAAGAGTCATATTGATGTTCACATGCTAGAATCTGATCACATAATGCTTCTTCACCCAGCTTGGTGATGCCGATCTCCTGCAGATCCTCCCATGTCAGGTCTTTGACAATGCTGATGGAGTCATAGCCATTCTCAGAGAGTTTTTTGAGGTACTGTGGGAGGCCGATGGCACTAAGCCACTCGCCCAGATCAGACTGCAGGAGAGAAAAGATTCCGATCAACTGGCATCGCAGTGTTTGAAAGCTGGTGTATGCTGCAGCAAACAGATGGGGGTCTTACTGGGATGTACTCTGGCAGCCACTCTGGGATGTTCAGGTTGCTGATCTCAATGGAGATTTTCTTGCGGTGGCCTGGTTTGGTCACTCCAATGGCGGTCAGATCCTTTGGACACAACAAGACAAGAGACGGCACGTCACCAAATTACCTGTACACACAGCTACTGGCAAATCACAGCTCACTACTCTCGCTTTAAATGGTATTAAACAGTGGCTCTGGTTCATAGTCAGGACTAAACCCGCCTATGAATCTCTGCTGTCCAGCCGACGCATATTCTGTTAAAGACTACCAAAAATTCAAACAGGTGGCAGCTGTGACCAAGAAATAACCACTTTCAGCTGCAATTAGGCAGGTCAAATCCATTTTCATGTGTTTTTTTTTTACATTCAGAGAAAAACCTGAGAAAATCCTCATGCGTTTGTTCACCTCAGGAGTCATCCTACTGATTGTCGGTACATCGTAGCCAGCGTTGATGAAGTTCCCAGTGTACTGCTCCAGCTGGAACTCGCTCAGCCACTGACAGATGGCCTCTGCATCCTGAGACAAGTACAAACACACTGATGCTATTGTTGTTCAGCCTGTGCCTCTCATGTAAAAGTCAGATGCTAAACAGAGTCAGTGACAGAAAATCATACAGCAGCCGCAAACTTGTTTTATTCAACTTCTCCTTTGGTCCATCACGCAAGCAATTCTTTGTCACACCAGAGGGAATTATTTATAGTTTGTTTATAGTGGTGACATTAAAGGTGAATCCCAATTCCCTTATTTTATCATTTCTTGATCCTCTCTCTCGTCATGATGAAGGGCATTCCAAAGCTCTTATTTCTGCTCTGAGCAGCAAGGAGGATGACTAGAGGAGCTACAACAGAGGAAACACAGGTGCATCCTTTGCAGAAGTCTGTTACGGTTTGACACACCTCTTTATTGGAAATCAGTTTGTGATTGTTTGCCTCACATTAAGGATCAGAGGAAAAGACGTCTCATGTCAGTTAAAACGTGTTTCCTCAGTTTATCTCTCCTCGCATGTTACGTGGGCGGGACTAAGACTAAATGGCAAGACACAAGTCAGGAAAACATGAATGCGATTAAAGGAATTTGGATTCACCTTAATTTTTTGAGGACTATGGACATTTTTTAAATAAAATCATGGTAAATCTTACTCATAGACCTGCCAAGCATCTCAAGATTTAGAAGCAAAACCCCAGTTTAGAAAAAAAAACAAAAAAAACCACACAACCTAATGACAGAATGACAGATTGAGTGGTAACACATTCTTGTGTACATCTTCACCTTCCCCTCCAGCAGCTGCTGAGGATGAACAAACTGCTGAGAGAAACTCTGCTCTGCAGGTCTGTGCACCGTCACTGTCTGCCGCCGAGGAGCCCCACCTGCAGCGACATCACACCAGAGCTCAGCAGCACTGAACTCAGAAACCTCTTAGATCTCACATCACATTATTGAGATATGAATACGACAAAGTTACTTATTCCCTTATGCTGTAATTCCCTTTTGCTTCTATACTTTCTTAAGTTTCTGATTGTATGGTCCTTGAAGATGTAATGCAGGACAGTATGTATGTATTATTTATCACATTAACCATAAAATATATCTTTGTGTGTGTCTGGGAGTCTAATAGACAAAAATGTCAAAATGCATGGTTATTTAAGAAAGGTAAAAAACAAAGTTACCTGCAGGATCAGGCTGTTTGCCAAAGTCTGAGTGTCCAGAATCAACAGCAGGGGGTGCTGGCTACACACACACACACACACACTCATAACAAACTGAGTCATTCAGCTGTATTTTACTGAAGAGAAGGCAACAGGTATAAAGTCATCATGTAAAATAAGATGTCAGCAGCACATGACGGCTCAAATAAGTTATTTTACATTCAAATTAGGATTTTAACTATAATTTAACCAGATAAATAAAAAGAAACCAAACTTGCACATCTGTCGCATCAGGGCTGGGAGATCCAGTCTGAAGAGACCAGATGTGACCGTGACTATGTCAGCACAATGGATCAGCAAGTGTAGCAGTGTGATTGCATTTGCAAACCTTGCTGGCATTGTCATGGTGACCGCTGTGGTGCTGGAGTCCATTGGGTGCGTTGTTGCTTTCGGTGCTCTGTCCACTCCCGGCGCTGCGGGTGCTGCCTACGCTGCCGGTGCTCCCCACGCTGTTTCTGTCGCCAGCTGCAAACAAAACAACTAAAATTAATTCATTATGTCCAGGTGGGAGGAGGAGATGGAAAGGAGTTTATATCAGCAGAGAGGATCAGTATCAGGCTGTAGGAAGCAGGGAATGGCAGTTTGATATGCTCTTTGTCAAATCACTGCAGGCTGAGAGAATGGGATCAACAAGCCTGCAAGGGCTGGGGAGCAACCATAGGTGGGTGACGGGCAGGGTGCAGGTTTCTGGTATAAAAGTTGTGCTGTGGCAGAGCAAAGGAGCACAGCTACAGGCACGAGTCATGTAGCCAGCAGCATCAGGCTTTAAGGAAGGCAGAGGTGGGTCATGGTTTGTACTCACCAGGTATTTAATTTTTCTAAAGGGCAGAGTTTGTTGTTCTGGCAGCCTGAAATGTAGCTGTGAAAGTCTGTGGTTTCCTCACTTCTCTGTCACACACGGACATCCACAGAAATGAATTGTGTTGCAATTACTTCTACTTCCAAGTGACCAGAATGCTTTACTGAGTTGCACCAAAATATCCTGACAAATGCTTCGTAAATATACTTTTTTTTTCATTTCCAGAAAGCAAACTAACTTGATTAGTCAAATAATCATCACATATACCAAGTTCAAGAAAATCTTAAAAAAAGCTGCCTATAAATACAAATCAAAAGTATTTACTGTAGGTAGAGCAGCAAAACTGTCATCGTCACGTTACACCTGGAAAATCACAAAAAAGGATAAGAAAGGGGATGACTGACTTATAAGTTCAGAGTGAAGCAGACGATAAAGTGAGGAGCGTTTGGATCCAACACACCAAGAGGACTGTCCTCTGCAAGTCGCCTGTAGTTTTGAATAATAATGAAATATTTTCAATAATTTAATAATAATTATTGTTTATAAGGTGCTCTTCAGTGTGCTTAAAGATGCTTTACAATAGGGAAA